GGCCGCATAAGGCTTTCTTCGAGGCATTTTTCGCGAAAGCGCTTTGGGTTGTTATTGTTTGCCTGCTGTCCTTTTTGTGGCTTTCCGTTGTCATTTAGTGTCAGGGACTCAGACACCTGAAAAGCCAGTTTGTGTGTCAGCTTTGATGCAACTTGCCCGGCAAAACCTTGTCTGGCATTTGAAACTGACAACACGTTGGTGCCCGGCGTTTTTTTGGGGTGTGGTGCTTTTGGGTGGGCAAGATTTTGAAGGGTTTTTGGCTCCCCCCCTAAACAATCTAGAATTGAGTTTCCATGTGACTCAACATGTGACTTAGTATTGCTGGAGCTGAGTTTCCATTTGATTTAGTATTGCTGGAGCTTCCTTTTGAGATCTGGAATTGAGTTTCCAGTTGATTTAGTATTGCTGGAGCTTCCTTTTGAGATCTGGAATTGAGTTTCCATTTGATGTAGTATTGCTGGAGCTTCCTTTTTGAGATCTGGAATTGAGTTTCCAGCTGATTTAGCATTGCTGGATCTTCCTTTTGAGATCTGGAATTGAGTTTCCAATTGGAGAGAATGAGATAGCAGCAGCCATCTAAATAAGGGACCGATTTAATTAGGGAGCCGGTTTAATGGGGGAGGGTTTATTAATACGGGGTCAACATTAGAGCAGTTGTTGCCAGGGGATAATTACCAAAAAGATCCCTAATGCTTGACAACTGTCCATCGTATTTGGAACACATTTTAGAGGCAGGCGCAAAGGGAGGCAGCTGGAGCAGGGATTTTGGCGGTCGGGGGATGGGGTTTTGGAGATAATGGAGCGGTGAAAATGAGCTTTTCCACCTTTTTTTGTTTTTGCGTAGGTCCCTCCCTTTCAGTGTCAAGGTAATGCTGAACCAGACCGGTGGTTGGAGCAACATGGGAAAGATGTTTACTCGCGAGCTGCCTTGCTAGTCCTTGTTTGTTGGCTTGCAGGAGGCGAAGATGAAAGGTATCAGCCAGATCACCGCATACCTTTGGCATTCCAACAAGCTGCTCCTTGGCGAAAGCCTTCGCGATTCGCGCCCTGCAACTCGCACGCAATGCGACCAGGGTTGACTAACGGCGCATCCAGAAGCTACCTATTTTGACAGCCTCGCTGACTGTTCTGCATCACCGATCTTAGTTGATGCTGCACCACATTGCCCGGACCAGATGCTGTTCAAAGCTGCGACTGCTCGCCGGCGCAGTCAGTTACAGTTCGCGATGCGCCCAAAGCATGTTGGATATCAGCGTGGTTCCCGTAGCGTGGGTGTGTGATAGCTTTTGTTCCCACAGGGACCGTTCCAGGTGGCAGGTTTTCTCATGGTCTTTTGACAAGAAGCCGGTGATGCTTCAACCTTTTATAATCGGGTTTTGGACTTTACGTCTTGATTTGTTGTTTCGTTTGCACTTCAGCTGGACGTCGGTCATGGCAACTTTCCCTATTTAGTCCGGGGTATTCTGAGGGAGTGCACTTCTTTGAGCCTTGTACGAACTTCCGGCGGTTTTTGGCTGCATGTGGGGCGATGCCACGCCCATCCCAGCCCTTAAGATTTGAAGGGGCTGCCACGAACCCAACAGCCTCTAGGGTTCCTATTGCAAAGGAACAAGGGAACCCGTAAGCCACAATGGCTCTGGCAGCTCTTTAGGGTATCTTCATAGAAATAAAGGCGGCCGATGGGTTGAAGATTGCTTCGCCCACGCAGTGGCCGTGCTGCCCAGGCTCATGACTATCCTCGGGCCCATCAAGGCAGACTCGCCCCATTATTTTACCACTATGAAAGTCACCCCTGAGTGGCAGGTTAAAAAGTGTTAAAGCGAAACACATCATTCGTTCTGACTTTGAGGCCAACCAGAAGCAGACAAAATCAGGACTCCGGCAAGATGGGTTTGAGTGCACGTAAAAACGAGGGGTGGTCGGTTGGGTCCAAAAAGCTGCCGACCGAGGCTGATCTTGCTGTCGAACAACTACTTCCAGCGCATCTGGACCGTCTTTGAGCTTGCAGCCTTCCTGGCATTGCCGCTGTGGCCATGTCCCTCTGGGGGATTTGGACCATTTTGCTTTCCCAACAAAAGGGGTGCCACAGAACACAAGCGCGTATTGACCCTGCGCAAATTTTCAGAAAGCCAAGGGGGGAACCCCTGAGTTTGAGATGGGGCTATTTGAGCGTCTCTTTTCGACAGCATTCGATGTTGTTGGAGGAAAGCGAGCCATGTGCATGTGTCTCAATCAAGTTCAGTCCCAAGTGGGGCGAAGGTTTGCTCACCTTATTGGGGCTTGTCCAGGTTTTTTGTGCCGCAGCCTCCCTTCTTGGCGACCCCTGTATGGCCTCATGATCATGATCATGTGCATGGTTGTCGGAAGCTTGCCAGGGACATTGGAACACGTAGTATTTTGGGGGGTACTCGCATTTTCCCCAAGCAGTCTGTCCACACTATCGGGGGTAAGAGTGAAGGGCCGGGCACTAGAGGTCGGCGCTTTTCGGCTGCGCAGGCTCGCGCAAAAGTTCCGTTGTGAGATGTCATGCGCATGGGATCACTCTTGCTGATGCGCGGTGCGAACGTTTTACCATCGAAAGCAACCCTCTGCTGACTTAGGTGCGTTGAATCGCTGGCGCGGAACCTTCTCCAGACTTTGGGGGGGTCGGATCGCTCTCGCTGCGGCTCGGCGCGATTGTCGCACATCGAAAGCCAACCCTCCCGCGGCACATTGGGCGGCTCGGATTGCTCGGGCTGCGGCGCGGCGCAAACTTGGAAATTGAAAGTGAGCCCTTCTGCGGACTTTGCGCGGGTGACCGCTCTCGCTGTGGCTTGGTGCGAATATTGAACATCGCATGTGAACCATCTGCGGAAGGTCGGATCACTGTGGTGCGGATCGCTTTTGCAGCGGAACGCCGAGCGTGCGCTATACCTTCTGTGGCCTTTGTGTCGGTCGGATCGCTCATGCTGTGGCACGCTTTCCATGATGGGAAATGCTCTTTGAACAAGATATTGCAGAATTCCTCAGCAAGAGATCTTCCGCAAAGATCTTGCAGAGAGGCTTCTAAAGAGGTCTTGTTTAAAGGTTTGTCTTGCAATGATCCTGAAAAGAGACCTTTGCGCAGAGGTCTTGAGATCTTGCACACAGATCTCAAAGACCCCCTTGCCGAGATTCCATCAAAAGATCTCACAGGGTGATCGCAGAGATCTTGCAGAGAGCCTTGAAAGAGATCGCGGATTCCTGCTGAACAATGTTTTCTCTTCATTTCGACCCACTTCTTGGGGTCGCTTGCTGGCATAGGTAGAAGGCAACATTTTGGGGTTCATGTTCTGCGTGGCATGGTATGAGTCACCGAGGGATTGTGAGTAATAGCATCATCACCACCATCATCTGCATTGAGCCATTATCATGATCATTGGCATGGCTGGCCAAGTGAAAGTTGAGAAAGAAGCGCTGCGTCACTTGCCAGCCTTGTGCCGAAGACCCTGTCTATGATACAGCGACACATGGCCAAAGGTCAGGCGGTCAAACGTAGGCCGCGTTGCCTTTCCGGGTTTTGACAAAGGGGCCAGGAACCCACGGGTCCATAAAATACCGACGGTTTCACGAGGCAGAATGTTTGATGTGGGTCCCAAAATGGTGGGTTTTTGTGTTTGGATCCTGGAAACTTCTCCGCAACGACAGCTAGGGGTTCTTAGCCAACTTCGGCCAATGGTGGGAGTACGCATTGGGCTACTGCAAATCAAATCAATGTTAGATGTTTTGTAGAAAGTTATTTGGCCTCAAGGGTCGCTGGGGGCCATAGTGTCCATCGAACCTCCCATGGGTCAAATAGACCAGTTCCCAAAGCCAGGCCCCAAAGATCCAAATGCAGGTGCTTTTGAAGCCGGCAAGAGGGGCTCCAGTATCAATCATGCTGAATTGGCCCCTCCCCCTCAAAAGGTTTGATTTCCTCCCGCGCCCCCCGCAACCCTTCAAACGGTTTGAGCCTGAAGCTGAGCCCTGCCGGAACCAATTCTGGAATCTCGGGGTCTCAGAATCTCGGTGTCTCGGATCTCAAACTATGGGTGTCAGTATACCTTCCAATTCGTTTCGGAAGATTTTGTCCAGAAGACTTGAGCAAATGGAACCCAAGGATGAGCATCGCAGATACTCTAAGCAAATGAATGGTGTTATGATGGCGTGCGGAGGGCTTCTGGCTTTTTCAGTCCGGTGTGCTCAAGCCTCGCCTGAGGAAGCCGTACTCTCCGGTTCTCGTAGAGTCTCTTGCGCCTCGGAGGAGCGAGTCCGTGCTTTTGCAGGCCGACCAAGCTGTTGCGCTCGAAGTGCTTAGACTCTCCAAGTCTAATTGCCAATATGTGTTTTGGTTTGAGATGTTCCTGAGGCATTTGCATGGTACTGACTCCCCGGATTTGTGCATCGCCCCTGGCTAAGGACCTTGCCGGGGTGACGGCCTCTGCATCGCTGGCGGGGCTGTTTTTCCGCCCCTGTTGGAGGGCGCCTGGGCCAATGGCGAATGGCAGCCAGCACACCTCTGGTTCCCAGAGCGGGGCCAAGTCTTAGGCAAGTTGCATCCCCCAAGTTCGTTCGCTTGGCGAATTGAGAGGAGCAAAAGGCGACCTGGAGAAGTGATGGTTTGCGAGTCTCAAAAGTACATGACATGAGACAGTGATCAGAACTAGAGGCAAAGGGCAAAGCGTAGCAGACACATCCATCTCGGGGGGGGGCGGCTATCACAGGCTGCAGGGATTGCAGCAAGTCACCTGATGCGGTTGGGTTTGGCACAGAAGTCCATGTGAGTAAACCCGGCCTTTGGGGGCAAGGCCTGTCATACGTGACCAGGGCGCCCGCATTCTGCGGTTTGTTGTTTTTTGTTGGCTTGTTAATATGCCTTCTTGAAAAGGGACAGAACAAACCCAGAAAAGGCGATGCGTTGGCGAATTGCGGAAGGAGACTGACTGGAAGCCAAGCATTTGGAACCTACCAATGGCCTTGATCTATGCTAACTGTTAACGTCACAAAACCACAGTGAGGATCCCAATCCTGATGTCTCATTGGGCCGAGATCGGCCGGGTGTTGTCCGACACATCCCGCCCTGTAGCTTACCAGAGCGGCTGCCTGATTGCCTCGCCCTTTTGATTTTGGACATGCAACAATTTGATACCAAATCGTCATTTCTGGTACAGCCACGGGTCCTTGTTCGTGTGCAGGAGCCTCCAAACCGGGGGAGGGGCTTCCATTCGGGCTTTCCTCGACCCACGCGCAGTTTCTGGTGTTAGTTTCGAGGACATGGGCCGAATTGCCAGCAACAACCAGGGCTCACTGGCCGGCAGTGGCCGTAAAAATGCGGTTTCCGGCTTGTTCTCCCCCAAAAAGATGCTTAAAATAACACACACACACACACAAACCCACACACACCATCACACACCCCCGGTGAAACCTTGGTATGAGTTTGAGCCTCAGGTGATGCGCTGGTACTTCGCGGATTGGCGAGCCCATGCAGGCTGGGGAGGTGATGCCGCAGGCAGCGGCCTCTTAGCTCTCGCCGCGGGCGTGCGCTTCGGCGGAAATGGACATCGGACGCAGACACGTCGGCGTCGCACTTTTTCTTTGCAAAAAACTGCAAGCGCGGGCGGCGGGCCGGCGGGCTTCCCACGTACTCCGCAAGTTGATCTGGAGGGTCCAGAAGCCATCACTTTGGTGCATCTTGCTTGGATGTTGGGACTTTATAACTTGTTTCCAACTAATGGGTTTTTCCGTTAAGCCACTAAAAGTTAAACTTGTAGCAGGTAGAGAGCAACCGAGTTTCTGAGGTAGCCTCTCTCTTTTCTCATTTTCGAGATTGACATCTGAAAGCTGTAGATGTGGGATAAGGAGCGTTCCAAGAACTGTTCAAGAGGGCTCAAGCATTTGGAGGGGTTGGCTAAGTGAAGAGTTTGAGGTGCAACGATTCGGTTATCGTAAGGGCTCAAATACTTGGAATGGGGTTGCGGAGTACGTTCAAGCAAAGTTTTGTTTGTCATTAGAAGGTAATAACTTGCGAAGAACAATCGTCGGTATTAAAGGCTAAGTTTGGCTGGTCCTCCAACAAGAAGGCGCTGCCTGTTGGGCCACCTGGGGCCTTTCCTGAGAAGTGCTTTTAGCTGCCTTAGCTCGAAACGGCGAGGACCACTGGCTTTTCCATCAACTCACTTGCGTATGAAAAGGCCTCAAATGCAAACGTCAAATGCCACGCACGGGCTCCCCTCCCCACTTTTTTCCTTGAATGCGTGCGGGCGTACTAAACAAATCGACTACTCGTAGTCGAATCAGGTCCTGTTACGTCATCCATGCAAAATCTCCGCCGCTCCAGCAATCAGCGCAAAGAAGGACCGTGCCCCTATTCCAGTGATACCTGTCACCCATTGGTGTCATGTGGTAGAGCTCCACACACCAATCGCACGCAACTCCTTGATGCGTGGCACCCTTTTCGTAGGTTCTTTGCCAAAGCCCTGACGCGCTCGGGCTCGATCCCCACCTGTTCGCACAATCTGAAGCCGCAGGCGAAGGTCCCTCTGGATCTCCTCCAGCCTTTGCCTCATCTCTGCCTCCGTCTCCCGTCGAAGCGCTGCCTCAAGCCGTTTTCGCATTTCCTCCCTCTCTGCAGCATGGTCCATGAAGTACCTGATGACCCCCTCCTGCGATGCAACCAATACAGTACCACATTCTCGCGCTGAGCAGGTTGCTCAGCACCTTGTGCCTTTCCAGGCAAAACCTCCAAGGCCAACACCAAAGCCACCACCATCCAGCAGGGTATGAGGATGCGGCCGCCGGCTCCAGCTTCAAGAAATGCCCGCCTTGCCGTAGACATTGGGTTCCAGGATGCCGTACTTCAGGCCGAATATGTCGTAGGGGAAGCACACCAGGCCATAAAGGAAGACCTCAACGAAGCCACGACCTCACCGTATCCAAATGGCGTGCTTGATTCCCACCAGGAGATTCTGACATCCCACGGGCATCCTCCAGTTGGGCGAAGCACTCCCACACTGATCACCTCCAGGTTCAAGGTCATCTGCGACAGACAACCTCTTCACTCCACACCTGCCAGTGCTACCAAAACCTGCACCGCCGGAGGGTGATGAGGAGGACCGTCTCCTCCCCGCGGTAGTCCACACCAGCTGCAACATCCACACCACTGGTCGCCAAAAACATGGGGCAATCCGCGCATACCTTCCCTTCAGCACCCTTGGGCACAAGCGTGCGCTCCCCGGCCTTCAGCTCAAAGTCTCAGCGCTGAGGCCCTCCACGAGCACAGGCCTGCTTCGGACGTTGCTTGCGCTACAAGCGCCTGTTTTCTCGTCTCCCACTGGATCGGGGCACTGGCACAAGCAAGCATGCAGCACACCACGGCGAAGGATACGAGCACCTTCCAGGTCCCCGTCCTTCCGGACAGCAAGATTCCCTGCGACCCGCTGTGCCTTCCGAACCTCCGCCAGTTTCGCATTCCCGTTCCGGCACCGGTGCCGCTCTCGGACATAGCACGGCTGGCGGATCACGCCGTCCTTGCTCTCAATCTTCATGAAGAAGCGACCCGCTCCAGCGGTGATGCTAGCCACAGACGATCAATGACCCGGCCCAACTCAACAACCATCTCCAAGCCGGTGATCGTGACGTCATCCACGTAGATGGCCAGGAGACAGGTTTGCTGTGGGCCCTTTTCTCTGCGTCCCTGTGAAATGCCCAACATGGTAGGGATCAACCCCACGCTCTTCCCCCTTTTGGCGAGCAGCCTCCCCCTTCCCTACGGAGAAGGTCAATATAGTTACCGTGCACAGGGGAATTCTTTTATAGCATTGATGAAGGTATGTTCTCGCGTGTGGTAAACGAGCGGTTTGTGAAGGATTCACGGCTCGTGGTGACTGCCTCAGCGTGACGACACATTGCAGTCCGACTGAGGTTGGGTTTCGGGGTGCTGATTATGGTCTTCAAGCTGCTCCGGGGCTGGGGGATTATGCGCGCAAGGCTGCAGGAGCAGATTGAGAACTTTACCTTCGCTCAAGCTAGGTGCCGCGAGTGTCAAGCGACCTTCCCTGGGCTGACAGTTGAAACAGGGTTGAACCACTGCCGTTTAAACAAGCCTTTGGGTTTCCCTTGGCAGGGATCAGAGGTCGATTGCTTACACAAGACTTGCCCAAGCATGGGACGTGGGGTAGAATAGTAAAAAGGGCCACGCCCTCAAGCAAATTAGGAAAGGGGCTCATCTGTGCTCCAGCAAATTAGGGGGGGTCAATAGATGAAATCCCCCAAAACACATGGGTCAGAGTTGGGTAAGCGTAAGCTTAGTATTGGTTTATTTCGACGCTGGCTTCGGTCCTCTGCCTCGTGGTTTAGAACTGTTTGATCATTCCTTTCAGCTGGCCCGTTTAGAATTGGTAGGAACTTGTAGTGGTTCAGTCGTCTTTGGAACTGGCCTGTACCACCCCCTTGAAAATGTATCTGGGCTGTTCTAGTAAGGGTGTCATAAAGGATTTGCATCTTTTGGAAAAGTATATATATATATATCGGCTTATATATATATGTTGTGTATTAGCTAGTATTGGTCTAGTATTGATTTGCTTTACTTTAGTAGCCAGGGCTTGGGGACGGGCCGATTCGTTTTCTCACCGCGAAAATAATCACTCTTCCACCCCCTTTCCTTTTCAGGGTGGGGAACATGTTTAGGACAACTTTCTTGAATTACCTCGCCGTTGATTCTTCGCTATCCGACATTAGCATGGAAGTTGAAGACACAATTGAGCTGCCTTTTTCAAATGCAGGAAGCCCTTCGTGGTCCCGCGTGAGTTTCCAGAGGCTTTGGAGTACTAATTGAGGGATTTGGAACTGGGCCCAAAACATCCCTCTGCACCACTTCCAAGTTGGCACCCCATTTGAGAGGCGCTATTGCTTATCTTGACAAAGGGTCGTTTACAACGATGTAACTTGGACGCTGGCTTGTCTCGCAGTGAATTCTGCTGTGCTGGTTTAGGAAGAGCCATGCACACTGAAAAGGATTTCTGCCCCCCTGGTGTATCCAGTATCCAATTTGTGTGGCCTCATGTTCGGAGAATAACGAAGCAAGCTGCTCTTGCCAAAGTCTTTGCACAGAAGTCTCGGGGGCAAGCAGCAAAAACAGGTCCAGCAGTTCAACACACATGAATGAATGGACCAATGCATAGTGGGACTTCCCTGGTTTAAACGCGCGCGCTGGCCATCGAAGCGCAAGGTGTTCCGTGGAAAATGACCGGGTTGAGATCCTGCATCTTGGCGCGAAAGGGTTTGATGAGTGGCGTCTGGCCGCTTCAGCTCACAGTCACCCCCATGCAAGCTGACGGACGGGTTTGGAAGACCAGTTTTACTGGTCCGGCAGCATTGCGGAAAGGACCAGCGGGAACGGACTAAGAAGGACCAGTGATCTCCAGCCTGTTGCATCCCTACTTTAACAGTTAGGGAACCCTCCACCCCTCCCCGTTAAGGTGCACCTAAGCCCCGTTGTTTCAAGGAATAAAGAAACACACCCCGCACCCTGATCTCGGACGTTTTTCCAAAATTGGGGTAAAGGGACCCACCCATCCATGCTTTTCTTCCATTTGCTCAAGAATAATTTTCCCCTGTTGGTTTTAAAGGGAGTCTATCAATACTGGACATATCTTCTCATTTTTTCCAGGGGTCAGAACCAAACGGACATGTTGGGTGCCTTTTCTTGGAGCTCCCAGGTCTGCGGTGCACCACCTGGCGGAGGAGAGTCAGATGGTGGAGCCTGGAGCCTCCGTCGAGGAGGCTGGACTTTGCGTCTTGCAGCCCCTTTTGGTTTAGAGGGATACCAGCAGGAAAAGGTTGCCGTTTTCAGGGTGTTCTACTCTTCCAAAGCAAAATCAGTAAATCCTTCTGTTGATGGTAAACGTGGTTATGTTTCGTGACAAGGGAGCTCAACTACATGCAGCTACTACAATGAGTTGCTTTTGTTTATCTATCTATCTATCTATCTGTCTATCTATCTATCCATCCATCCATCCATCCATCCATCCATCCATCCATCCATCCATCCATCCATCCATCCATCCATCCATCCATCCATCTAATCTATCCATCTATCTATCCATCTATCCATCCATCCTTCCATCCATCCATCTATCGATCTATCTATCTATCTATCTATCTATCTATCTATCTATCTATCTATCTATCTAATCTATCTAATCTATCTAATCTATCTAGACTATCTAGACTCTAGACTATCTTTTTTTTTATCTATTCTATCGAATGTATCGAATCTATCGAATCTATCTATCTATATCTCTGTCTATCTGTCTATCTATAAATCTCTCTATCTCTCTATCTCTAGCTATAATATTCTATTCTATTCTATCTAGTCTATCTAGTTTATCTAGTCTATCTAGTCTATCTAGTCTATCTAGTCTATTTAATCTATCTACTCTGTAAAATCTATCTAATCTATTTACTCTATCTAGTCTATCTAATCTGTCTAATCTATCTAATCAGTCTAATTTATGTAATCTATCTAGTCTATCTAGTCTATCTAGTCTATCTAGTCTATCTAGTCTATCTAGTCTATCTAGTCTATCTATTCTATCTAATCTATCTAATCTATCCAATCTATCTAGACTATCTAATCTATGTAATCTATCTAATCAGTCTAATCTATCTAATCTATCTAATCTATCGAATCTATCGAATGTATCGAATCTATCTAATCTATCTAATCTATCGAGTCTATTTAATCTGTCTATTCTATCTGATCTATATATCTATCCATCTATCTGTTTATCAATCTGTCTATCTTTCCATCTATCTATCTATGTATCTATCCGTCTAGCTATTCATCTTCTGTTGAAAGTGCTGCGCCTGCCACCAAATCCGCACCAGACCTTGCGAAAGTGCTGCGCCTGCCACCAAATCCGCACCTGACCTTGCGAAAGCGCTGCGCCTGCCACCAAATCCGCACTGACCTTGCGAAAGTGCTGCGCCTGCCACCAAATCCGCACCTGACCTTGCGAAAGTGCTGCGCCTGCCACCAAATCCGCACCTGACCTTGCGAAAGTGCTGCGCCTGCCACCAAATCCGCACTGACCTTGCGAAAGTGCTGCGCCTGCCACCAAATCCGCGCCTGACCGGGCGAAAGTGCTGCGCCTGCCACCAAATCCGCACCTGACCTTGCGAAAGTGCTGCGCCTGCGACCAAATCCGCGCCTGACCTTGCGAAATTTCGAAAGTGCTGCGCCTGCCACCAAATCCGCGCCTGACCGGGCGAAAGTGCTGCGCCTGCCACCAAATCCGCACCTGACCTTGCGAAAGTGCTGTGTCTGCCACGTACAAAGAGTTCTCTGAGATCGCTCCGAGCGCGCTCCGACCAGGCGTCGCGATCAAGATAGCTTTCCAGCATCCCAAAGCAACGCTCGGAGAGGTTAGCATTTGTTTGACATGTCTATTCCTCCGCCACACGCACACCCATTGATCCTCGCGCTTATTCGTTTCTTCTCATTTGTCTTAGAGAGCTAGCTTTCAATATGTTGCCATAACCCGGAAGTGCCATGCAAACTTCCTTTGGTTATGCCAGATGATAGTTTATCTTGTTTTGGTGATGTCCCACAGCCGATTCACCCGGTCATTTGGTGGATCGAGTTGATCCTGTGGGACGGTTGTCACGCAATGCTTCTTCTCACCGAACGCTTCCAGGTTCGTTGGTGAGCCATGTTGACTAATCCTGGTGTCAGCGCTTTGCGACAACATACCTTTGAGGTTCCCAGCCATGCGCGAGCCGACGGGGACAGACTTGAGCTTTGGGATTTGCAGAATGCATCGCATAATCCACAAACAGTGACCAACTAGCAAGGGATTAACGAACCACCAAAATGTGCGGGGGTTGAAGCAGGGGCTTGGGCTTGAAACGGGTTCTAGTAGATTCCAGCTTGCACCAAGAAACAGTGTGTATCACTTTGAACCTGTTAGAAGCCATGCAACGGGTCCCAAGGCCCGACTTTTGATGAATGTCAGCAGTAGATTCTCGAATGACAGTCCCACCAGCAGGAGTTCACTGGCCTTCACTCTCAGCCATCGAGATGTTGGCTGGTGGGTACAGATCAAGGGAATCCAACTGGTGCAGTAGTTTTCACTGTGGCTCCAGTTTTCAGGGCCATCCTAGACATTTTGTCCGGCACTGTGTTAGTTCCACGTCTAGTTTATTGTTTTTTTACAGGGCGCCGCACGACTGGGGATTCGTGTGGTTCATTCAGTTTATCACCGCTCCTTGTCTTCGATGGGTTCGATCACTCGAGCGCCAGGCCTGCGCAGTGTTGGAGTCCCGGGCGAAGGTGCTGGTCCCTGGTTGCATGCTTGGAGCCTTATCGACCGCAGGCGGGGTGTGGCAAGGTGTGAGGGGTTCAAGGCCAGGGTCCAGCTATTTCGGGAAAGGAGTCTGAGTTCATCTACAATGTGCTGGTTTCCGGGATTTTGCGGCAGTGTATTGCGTGGGAGGGGGTTAAACTAGTTGTTTGTGGGGGGGAGGCTCAGGAAACCAACACCTGGACTCCCTTAAGCCCTTACCGCTTGGCGGCTGTGCATAATGACCGCCCTTGTAAGCGTCCAAGCAGCCCCAAAGGAAGCGCGACCCGGGCGAGGTTTCGAGGAAGCAACTTGAGGCACTGGTGATTTACAACTACCTTCGCATTGCAGCCAATGATGGCAACGGGCATGACATGTTGGAACGTACCACAAAGATATGGTCCACTATGATGTGGCTGTTCATCAGTTGTTTATCATGTGTTTTTTCTTGGACACGTGACTCTGCATAATACTTTCCCTGCAGGGTTGAACGATGTTGAATTCCACCGAGAAGGGTCGGAGAAAGATAGCCATTGAGCCAGGTGAATGAACATGCTTGTGAGGCAGGCTGAATGCAGACAGGTGCAATAAATAGTGTTGCTCCTGAGAGCAAAGAGGGATCCGCTCACCCTGTTTCTTTGCTAGCAGAAATCGAAAGAACGCAACTTTTGGTGGCCGGCGTGTCATTTCTTTTCCATGGAAGGATGCCACTTGCTTGCATACCTATTAATCAAGCAGTTTTGACAGTTTGGAGACACGGCACTTGACCTCCAAACCTCTGCAAGATGAGACCTCGATTGCCTTTGGGGTGAACAAAAAGAGTCGAAGACGCCTTGGATTGGACTCTTGATCGAAAGACGGCTAGCGGACATAGGCTTTGTGAGTTGCTTGTCACATGTTTCGGGCCTCCACATTATCGCTGTTTTCCTGTTGATCTCTCTTTGGTCCACCCAATTTGGGGTGTATATGATTCGTAACAGTATTCAGAATATACAGGGCTAAATAATTGCTCACGTTTTGCTCATGTAATCATGACTAACTTCGGTAGACATGTTTTCTACATTCCAATAGTTCAGGCCTTACGTGAGCACCCCCCTCATTTTTTCTCATTCCGGTATCCCCGGTATTTCCGGCATTTCAATCCTCAATCCATTCGCGTTTCTTTCACCCCTGCCGGTTTCTGCTCAAAATGAATGAATGAATGAATGATTGACTGAGTAATGGTTGAATGGATGATTGAATGGGTAAATGCGTGATTGAAGGCATGAGTAAACAAAAGAGTGCTTGACAACATGCATGAACAAAAAAGTAGCTAATAAAGTATTGAATCTATAAATGTATGAATGAATGTATGTATGTATGAATGAATGAATGAATGAATGAATGACATGAATGAATGAATGCATGCATGCATGCATGCATGAATGAATGACTGAATGAATGAATGAATGCATGAATGAATGAACTAATCGAATGAGTGAATGACATGACATGACACGACATGAAATGACATGGCATGACATCAACTGCAATGACATGAAACGACATGAAATGACATGAATGAATGAAATGAATGAATGAATGAATGAATGAGATGAATGAATGAATGAATGAATGAATGAATGAATGAATGAATGAATGAATGAATGAATGAATGAATGAATGAATGAATGAATGAATGAATGAATGAATGAATGAATCAATGAATCAATGAATCAATGAATCAATGAATCAATGAATCAATGAATCAATGAATCAATGAATGGATGGATGGATGAAATGAAATCAAATGAACATGAACATGAACATGAACATGAACATGAACATGAACATGAACATGAACATGAACATGAACATGAATGAATGAATGAATGAATGAACGAAATGAATGAATGGATGCATGCATGCATGAATGAATGCAATGAATGAATTAATGAATGAAATGAATGAATGAATGAATGAATGAATGAATGAATGAATGAATTAACTAATTAACTAATTAATGAATGAACTAATCGAACGAATGAATGAATGAATGAACTAATCGAATGAGTGAATGACATGACACGACACGACATGAAATGACATGGCATGACATCAAATGCAATGACATGAAATGACATGACATGACATGAATGATTGAAATGTATGACTGAATGAATGAGATAATGAATGAATGAATGAATGAATGAATGAATGAATGAATGAATGAATGAATGAATGAATGAATGAATGAATGAATTAATGAATTAATGAATTAATGAATTAATGAATCAATGAATCAATGAATTGCTGGATGGATGGATGGATGGATGAACTGAACTGAACTGAACTGAACTGAACTGAACTGAAATGAATGAATGAATGAATGAATGAATGAATGAATGAAATGAAATGAAATGAAATGAAATGAAATGAAATGAAATGAAATGAAATGGAATGGAATGGAATGGAATGGCATGAAATGGAATGAATGAATGAATGAATGAATGAATGAATGACTGAGTGAATGAATGAAATGAAATGAAATGAAATGAAATGACATGAAATGAAATGAAATGGAATGAAATGGAATGAAATGGAATGAATGAATGAATGAATGAATGAATGAACTAATCGAATGAGTGAATGAATGAATCAATGAATGAAATGAATGAATGCACGAATGAATTGATGCATGAATGAATGACTGCATGAATGAATGAACTAAAAGGAAGGAGGGAAGGAAGGAAGCAAGGAAGGAAGGACGGAAGGAAGGAAGGAAGGAAGGAAGGAAGGAAGGAAGGCAGAAATGACTGACTGACTGCCTGACTGAAGGAATGAATGAATGAATGAATGAATGAATTAATGAAATAATGAAATAATGAAAGAATGACTGAATGAGTGAGTGAGTGAGTGAGAGAATGAATGAATGAATGAATGAGTGAATGAATGAATGAATGAATGAATGAATAGGAGGACCTCCATGATTGCGCTTTTGTTGTGTTTCCCTCCACAAGACCAGATGCCCAGCCGCAGGTATGCCATTCAAGAATGCGGTGATGATTTCGCTGCCCCGACTCATGGGGATCTTGGACGATCAGTCCTCCCTGTGCCGTGAGATTTGGCTCACCTCCCCAGATCCGGTCCCCGCCATTCTGCAGATGGCTGCTCGCCAAAAGTTCGAAGGTGGCTTTCCTTTTCTTTTAAGCTATCCCCAAGATACCCGGGACCCGGGTGAGCCAGAAATCGGTTTGTTCATCACGCTGGTTGTTTTGGGGAACCAAAAGGAGGTTGGTTAGACAAGGTTGGCTGAAACATGGCCTGCCGGCATCCACGTCCGGTTCACAAATGGAGCCATCATGTTACCCGAACGAAACATATAAACCCTTGCTTCAGGCCTTGGGGTGTTCCAAAGGGGTCCATTCCACATTGGGGAAACCCCCGTTTTCAATACAAAGAGGGGCCCTTCAGTGACGAACTTCGAGGGGATTTCTGGTTGAATCCAAGGATTGTCAAACCTCCGTGATTTTTCCAAAGATGGTCCACTCTTTTCAGGACATCGGCAACATGTTTGGGGGGGGGGGTCCTAATAAGTTTTCTCCAGTCTCCAGTACGTTGTTGTTTGCAAAGAGTGGCGCGTTGCAGTGACATCCTTTCAGGGATCCAGTATTGTCGATCAGCTTTTGAAGGGATCCCAGTTAGAACCTCGCAGAGCACATGAACATGTGCGAACCTTTTAGTGAAGTATGGCCACCCAGATCAACAACCAAGGCATTGCGTGCGGCCATATGTCCAGTGTAGCAGTACAGTACTTGCCGCCTCGAAGAGGACGTGTTTCTTTCCATTGCGTCCTGGTCCTGGACCAGTCCTGAGACCGGTCCTGGGAATCCACGTTTTGTCGCCTTCGGGTGTGCCCCCCAGACAGAGAAGTCATCACTTCATTCCACACAGGTCCCCTTTGCAGGCTAGGACGCGAAGCGGAGGGTCGGCGGATGAAAACAAACATCTACCTGGGAGTCGCTTCCAGCATTTTTCTCAGGTTCTGCTGACCATCGCGCTGGGATTCATCGCCTTGTCGACCCTTACGGCTGGGTCACGAAGTGGGGCTTTTGTGTTTCCCTGAACCCATAAACCCTTTTGCTTTGGGTAATTACCTGCTTTGGAGCGTACCTCGAATTACCCAGACGCGCCTTCCTGCGCCCTCGATCACTCTGAGTATTTTTAGCATCCATGGGAGCTGAGCGTCTCTCCATTCTTTGAAACAACAAGTGGGGAGACGCTCGTGGCAACAGACCACGGTTTCAGTGTCCAATGTCTTTCGGTGGATTTTATGAGGCCAGAACTTTGCAGAAAAACCGCAGATGCACTTGCAATGTTTGATGGGTGTGTGTGTGTGTGGGTGTGGCAGACCTGCAAGCTTTAAGAAGAATCAACCAACTGAAGATAGGGTTCCCTGGATGGGTGATTGGCCCCACGGTGAAGCTTGGGCCTCATGGATTTGCATGTTATTGTTTCTAGGTTTATTGTTCTTATTGATCGAGGCCTTGTACGTAGCGCATGGGTTTGCCCAATGACAAAGGACTATCTAAAAGGTGGCAGCAGTCACAGGTGCTCATTTTGATATCGTTGTGCCTCAAAAGGATTGCCCCTTGGAGGGTGAAAGGGAACCGAAAGGAGCCCAAGTTGTAGGGGCCTTCCATTGGAAGCAGTCAGGGTTGGAAAATAATTACTCCTCGCCTTTTTGTTAAGGGCCCGTCCTGTGACTTTCTTTGGCCCGGAACACTGTAAACCGATGCTGGGGAAAATCCACACCCGTGAAAACCATGAGGGCACATATCAGGCCCAAGGTGTTGCCGCAAACAAGGATTGCATCATAAAGTTGCAGGGCTCACACCGATACTCAAACTGATGCCCAACCGACACCCAGCTCATCAGCCGCCATGCCAGGTCCAATCAGCTGCCCTGGAGCTGCCAAAATATACTTTGAGCGCTACATGCGTACTGAACAGTTGCGAGTTTCGAGCCGGAGCTGCTAAAATGTACTTTGCACATTGCACTTTTCACACTTGTACTGAAAAGTAGCGACTGTCGAGCCAGAGCTGCTAAAGTGTACTTCGCATGCTACACTTGTACTGAGAAGTTGCGACTTTCTCTAGTGTGTGCCCCCTGTCATGTTGCATGTGTGTCGAATCCAGGGACCTTTGCGCTTTGGCCTCTGGTGAAACTCCCAGTTCAGAACTGGAGTTTACTCTTGATCGATTTCAAAACAACTGATTTAAGGATCTGATTTGACGCTGGGGTATCGAACCCAGACCAAAGGCTAAACCGGCCCTGTTTACATAAGTGTTCGGATGGAGACCCAGGGGCTGGATTGAACATTTAACCAAAAGTGAAACGAACCGACGGCGTCTATCAGTAGCTTCTGATATTAAAATCGCATGGTGTCACGCCTTTGTTTGCAAGGTGACTGTCAAGAGACAATACGTAGGAGGAATCCACTAGACGTTCCTGAAATCAGCATGGAATTGCGCCCCTTTCCTGGGCAGATTCGGGCCGCGCGGTTGGTTCAGGTGACCTTATTCATCACCCGGCAGAAACGCCAACATTGCATCATGGAAGTTGCCATCACCTTCTGCTGCACCGGAGCGGCCATCGCTGGCTCCGTGCCTCGGACTTACTGCTTCGATGAACATGTGTGCCTGGTTTGAACCAGATCCCAAGGCACTAAATCGTTTTACCCGAGCAGATCAGTACCTAGAAGAGGGGCTTCTATTGCCGCTGCCCTGCAGTCTTTTTCGGGATTGCCATGAAGGATGACAGCCGGAATTCCCAACGAGCAATGGCTTCATTGCCTCAGCAACCAAAACTCTAGCATGGTGGGGCGGGTGTTTGTGCGTAGAATGTGTGGGGTCCCGACCAGAGGAGGCGATGGGAATTTGCTTCATGTATGGGGGTGCCCCAGCAACAGTCCGAGCGGCTAAAGTGGAAAGTACTTCTGGGAAGCAAGTTATGCGTGGGATGTGTTATTGGGTTTTATGTGGATAATGTTTCCTGCCAAGGGGTGATGACCAAGCAGTGCCCACGAAAGATGGTCAGGTCCCTTCGTGGGGTAAGCCCCTTGCATGACAGTGTTCCCTGCGTTTTGAAAAGGTTTATGTAAGATGTGATGGTTGAGGCTAGGCACCAAACCAGAAGGTCTCTGGTTCGGGTGATGGTGTGCTAGCAGAACCCATTCAACTTACCAAAGCGAAGTTGTTGGCCCAGCCAATTTCCAAGTTTGCAATGCCGAAAATCTGTGACGTAACTATGAGCTTGCAGGGGAGCGCCAAACCAGGCAAGCCAATACTCAGAACATTCCCTGATGACATGTTTGCTTCATACAAATATAAACTGTAACAAGCGCCACTGCACATGGCGTGCCAACTAGGTAAGATCTGTTCCTAGCAAAACTTCAACATGGCATGCTAGTTCAGAGACAGTCATATTCGAGCCGTTTGCCGATTCAATGCATCTGCCTACCACTGCGCCACACAGTGAATGCCAAGTCTACGGATATTGGCAACTCACACGCCTTCTTTGCCAAAGTGGTGAAATAACATCAAGAAACCGCGGAGAACAAGCCAACCAAGCAAATCCATACTCAGCACACTCATATCATCGCATGCACTGCGTGATCCTTGCTTGCAGCCGAAAAGACTACGAGCTATCTAAGAAGTCCCAGAAGCAGCTTCATAAGCAGTCTTGCAAGCAGATTTACGTCGAGAGGCGCATGGCCGCATGGCCTACTTACGTCCAATTTGCCGAAGGGACTCCATAGTTCCACATAGGTCTCAAAATGGTGGTGTTCCTCTTGGTTTCTTTTAAAAGCACAAAAACGGGGTGCCCTCGAAAAACGACACACCCACATGTTTACCAGTTTTGTAGCCAAATGACCAACAAACATGCTCACAGGGCTAGAACTCAAAAAAACAGATGTGTTGTTTAGCTCAAACAAACAACCTTTATATTGCTTTCTTGGATTAGCAGGTACTTTGGATGGCCAAGTTGTCGGCCACCCATCAATCGTAATGTGAAAGCAAGCAACCTCAATCATGCATGTTGTTTTCTAAGCATTTTTGCAAGGAGGCAAAGTGAAGGTAGATCATGGAGTTGAATGTGACCATATATAGATAATTATATAGATATGTATGCGCGAACCCCAACAATTAAATTCCCATCAGCACGGGTACTGCTTTGGTTTCCTCGAGCAAGACCGCAGTGCACAAACTCTAGGCTTCCTTTGGTTTCTGTTGGTTTCCCTCCAAAAAAGAGAGAAAGGAAAATCAACAGAAATGGACAGCCATACTTGGCTGGGGTACCGTTTTGGAGTTGGGTTAAAGCAAAAACCCAAGAACAGTTAAGGGTATGCCGCAACCCGATCAGAAACACAGCAGCGAGCCTAGGTGCTCTCACGAGGGCCTCTGGCGACCTTAGAAACACCTGGGCTCTTGCAGCTCGATGGGATGCTCTTTGCTTTGTTTCAGGTTGGGAGCTCCCTAACCTGAGAATTGGGTATCCGTTATGCAATTTAGAGGCTGGCCTGGGTTTGGACTTGGGAAACGCAGTGTTTTAGCTGGTTTGTTCATCCCCCGCAAGGATCATGATGTAGGTGTGCTTCCACTTGCAGGATTTAATGCAGGACTTGAACCCCGTCCTTTGAAATAGACCACAGGATTGAAGACGTTGGGTAGCCAAAAAAAGAACCAGGGCCTTTGGATGAGGATTAAGCAAGGGATGTGTTTTTTTAACTGAGATAGGGCCCCCTGTTCTTGGAGGCGCCAGGAAGCGTTCGAGCAGTAGGCCGAATAGGTGTCCTCTTTTTTGGAGAGCCCGAGAATCCCATCAGAGGCTATGGGTTTTAAGGCGGAGCTTGGCACTCGCCATTTCCAAGGGACGCCGAGCCACTGGGGAAGCTTCCGCTTTGGCTTTTCCACTCCGATCAGAAACAGCTTGCGCCTTACACGTAGCCCGAGTTACCGATTCCTTGAGGTTCAGCAGAACTAAACCATGGCACCACATATGGCGCTCGGGACTTAACTTGGCGGCTTGGAAAGATTATCGAAACATGCAAATTTGGTTCCTGGTCAAGCTGGAAATGGGCATGCGAAGTAGGTCAACCCCCCAATGCTGGTTTTCCGTGCGGCCCGCGCGGCCCGTGCGGCTTCCCTTTTGCCAAGCTGAACAGTGTATGCTCAGAAAATCACCGCATTAAATGGCCTTATCTTGCTGAAGCTTTTGCAAAACGCCGCCAGATGACTTGACTCCTGAAACAAAGGCCGCAAGGCACGAACTGACCATGGCAAACGAAGAAGGCCCCAAGGCTGAGCTAGCTGTTTCGCTTTCGCTAGATCAAAACATGTGGCCTTATTGCCTTCCGTATCTCTCTTCCCTTTGTGTTTTGCTAAAGTCGCACCTCTCAAGACAATGCTTCCCCTACACTCCATCCCCCAACGGCGTTTCCTAGAAGGGGACCCTTGTTGGATGATTGTGACAGGGGCTCCAAAAGGAAAACAGCATATTTTAGAGGCACAGTACATGGTTTCCTTTGGTTTTCGCGACTCAAGTCGATGTTTGCTGATTTGTGAACGAATGAAGGATCGATGGAGGCCTTCCACTTGAATGATTCTCACAGAATGAACAACGGAGGGCCATTTGTTTTAGTTTTTTTTTGGGGGTGGTTTTTCAGGGCGGGTGGCTTTTCGGCTTTTTGGCTTCTGTGGCTTTTACGAGGCTTTTGTGGCTCTTCATGTCGCATCCTTTGCATTCACAGTTCCTCTCTGTTTGGGTGTTGCCGCTTTTATTGGGTTTATGCGGCTTTCTGCTTTCCCAGATGGGTTTTGGCCTTGGCTTTCTGCATCCTCAGCACCGCCACTTCCTCTTGCCCCCCGCCACCCCCCTTTCGATTTAGGATGACACCGTAATTGAATCATCACTTTTTCGATCATCATGGGGGGGGCTGCCGCCGCCCCCCCCCCCCAACCCCCCCCGCTACTTTTGAGATTTTTGGCCCCTCATTGAATCATCACTTTTTCGATCATCACGGGGGGGCTGCCGCCCCAACTCCCCGGCTACTTTTTTTGGATTTGTTTGGATCATCAGGGGGCAGGCTGCCGCCCCCAACCCCCACGCTACTTGTTGGACTTTTGGCAGAGATTAAAATGCAGCCCTAGTTGAATCACCACTTTTTCGATCATGCCGTCCCCCCCCCCCCCAACCCCTCCGCGACTTTTCGTTTTACGGGGATTAAATTGCACCCGTATTTGAATCCTCACTTTTTACCATCATGAGAGGGAACCCCTTTTTACATAAATACCCACCTACCTTGCTGGAGAGGAACTGATGATGCTGACAATGTACACGATTTGCTGGTGATGCTGGGGATGTTGGCTGGACATGTGGGGGATGTTGAAAACGATGCTGGTGATGTTGACGGGCTAGTGTAAAATACCTGAGAAAATGCGGTAAAATACAGCATTTTGCAAGCCAGGACGGAACACCAACAAAAACATCCAAAAAAAAAATATCGACCCATGAACAACTGTGGAAATAGGCCCCAACTACAGGCTGACCAAACGGGAGAAGCAAAGTGGTTCGAATTGTTCGATGGTCACTGGGCAACGAAGCATGCCAAAAAAATGCAAGCCTTTTGTTGAAAGGTTGATTTTGGCTCCAAGATGCAAAAAAAACTTTGATTGCCAAATATCGCCCTCATGCATTTGTTCATTTCACCCAAAGGAAAGCCACAGGGGATGTTTTTTGTGTTGTCTTTTCGGATCTCCTATTTCGTGCCCCAGCCTTGAGCCACGATCAACACCTGGCAGGCAATCCAAACCATGCTGTTGCCCTGATTGATACGAATTTGGGTCGCTCCCTCGACCAGGTTATGACCCACCTGACTCCACTTTACGGCCACCCATTTCCCAGAGTCCCCGTTGTCTTAGATTTTGATTTTTCCGGAGCAGATTTCGAAGGCCTACTTGGATGTACCCACTTCGTAAGGTGAGTGTGTTTCCCAGCCACCAGAAAGCTGCCCACGGTTGTCTCTCGGACCAGGAACTCAGCGATCCTGGTGGGCATCAGCGCCATCCAGGGCTTGCTGCTTTGGTTTTGCTACGGCGCTGGCCTGCCTTGTCGCGGGTAATCTGGTGCAACCCGAAGCCTGGGTCCGTTTGTTCGTCATCCACATGTGTTGATTTCTTCCTATGTGTTTACTGGGACCCAAGACCCCTTGCCGAAAAAAAGTACATCCGCTCATTCAAAGAAGAGCAACTGCGCCCCTCCAAAGCGAAGTCGCGCATCTCGAACTCACCATGTTGCCTCACTTCAGGGCCTCCCTCTCCGCGTCCTTGGAGGGTAAAGCACACACCCCAAAATTGTTTGTTTGTGGGATACGCATGTTTGTTCAGTGCAAAACAAAACACCGTCTTGCTTGTGGCAGCCTTATGGGGAGAGCTGCTCTTTGTAGCTGTCCAGAGGATAGATCGAGCTATTTGTTCCGAAATTATCAGCAAGAGGGAGAGATAGAGAAACCCAGATGAAAACCATAAAACAAAAACGCCATGGAGCTTGGGGCGGCTCGGCTCATCTCTCAAGCTGTTTCTGAGGCAATGTGTTGGGGTGGTGGCCGGAGCTGCAAATGCGAAGTAGACGCAGCATCCTGCATGTCGTTTCATAAACCGTGCAGCGGTGAACGACGGGTAGGCTCGGCCGTTGCGTTGTTTCGACCCTGACGTCAGACTTTTTGTCGTGCGGAGCTAATTCGTGTGCGCGGCTCCCTGAAGCTGGTCGGCCGGAAGGCCCGTGTTACGTCGGGCCGGCTGGCGAAACGGGAGCCTCGAGAGGCTGTCTTTGAATGAGTGTTGCCACTACGCACAAGATCCTTGTGCATTGATGTCATATATTTTTTGTGGCTTTCGTTCCAAGCACCTTGCCGTGTTGTAGGCATTTGTTGCGGTTTGGCTCCGCAACTTCAGGCCTATGGCTATCTGGAAGCGAGTTCACCTAAACCCTGGCCCGGATAGCCCCTCGAAGAGCCTGGCTTGGAGCTTCATTGCCTCAACTAAGAAAAACGACGGAAAGGTGCGAATTGAAATCCGACTGTGCCCTGCATTCGGTCGGTATGCGAGTGAGATCTGGCTGGCACTCTTCATCCCTTGTACTGCCCAAAACACCGAATGAGTTGAGCGAGCGAGAGATAATGAGTGCTAGAGAGAGAGAGATCGAGCACAGCGGCATAGCCGAGAAGCGATTGTCAACCTATCAAAGACAAAGTGACCTTTTGGTTTTCTGTGTTCTGCTCGTCTAATTGAGAATGGCTGGTGGATGGCGAGCTTCGAAACACCCTGTGTCGATGGAACATCTGCAGACTACTCGTTCGCAGGCATCAGGTGCTAGGTGGACAGATGTACGTCGAGTCTAGGGGCATTTGAAGGAATCTCCGTTCAGAACTCATTCCCATCAATGTCCGGGTCGTGGATCGCATGGCGCCCGTTTCGTCCTGTGGCCTGGGGAAATAAAGCGGCCAATTTCAAATAAGTCGCCTCGCGAAGCTTGGCTGTTCAATGGAATACTCGGTGGCCCAAAGCTGATCTGTTGACCTTGTGGTTTTCCATTTCCATTGAACAGTTTCATCCATCTGAAGGGTACCAAATGGTTGCTCTGTTATGTCGATATTCCTTGTTTGCATGAGGATATCAAAATACTTGAGAATGCTCAGCTTCCTGCCAGTCTTGGCAACAGCTGGCAGTTTATGTTGTGATATTGAATGCTTTGAAGGCTGCAAACGTGTTGATCGTCGCTTGTAGAATTCTCGGATTCGACCTCCAGCCTTACACACATATGTTCGTTCAATTCAGATCTTCTTCACTTAGATGCATTTCAGCGTAAGCGAGCTCTGGATGAGGATTTCAGCGTAAGCGAGCTCTGGATGAGGGGGAAGGAGTTGTCAGAAAGGGCTGATCTTCTGCAAAACCAAGTGCAGCCCAACCAAAACGACATGTTCCCAGCGGCTGGATTTTCCTGAAACGGCCCAATTGGCCCAATTGCCCTTTTCAGGGCAAAAACAAAGGAGTCAGCGCATAGGCGGAGTCAGCGAGTCAGCTCGGAAGCCTGAACCACTCGGAACTAGAACGAGGCGGTTTCTGCAATGCTTCTTAAAAGAAGTTAAGCCCTGCGAAGAAGCTGATGTTGCCTTCTTAGCTTCTCTACGCGTTTCGCAGAAGGGGCTTGCCTCCGCAGAAGTCTCCTGACGCCATCAGAGCGCGACTCCTTTGTTTTGCCCTTACCTTTCTCTGGAAACTGCACGCACCGTGAAGATGTCACATGCTCGGTTGAAGCTGAGCCGCACGCGCACTATTGCACAGGCCCGACGCACAGACGCAGATGGCACATCAAAATATTATTCAACCTTGATGGAGCTAGTCGCCAACCAATGCCAAGTCATGCTTGAACAACTAGTTGCTCAGAATGATTTGCGTGCGTAGAAAGAAACAATGTGCATTTCATTTGGCCAGGATGGGTGACATGGACTCTAGTATGTCGGTATGCTGTTTGTCAGCATGGCTTCGGGAGTTCGGGAGTTTGCTTGATGCCTGATGGGACTCACAATATCCCCACTACGGGACCTAAGAAAGCTGTTGGGTTTCTGCAGTGTCCTTTTCCAACCTTGGACATCCTTTTGCAAAGCTCGCGGCAAAGAGGTGCCGCGCTGCCTCTAAGTTTGATCCATCGACTGACCGAAATTTACTTGAGCCTTCGTGGATGGGAAGCCACCAGCCCGGAGAGGCACCGGACTTTTGAGTATTTCTTGAAGTCCCAATCGGCAGCTCAGGCCCACCTCAACCATTTCCGCAGGAGTGGAACCTGAGTTTACGTCTTTCACTATATTGCGGGTGTCATGCGACATGTTTGGACATGAGGCACGTGTTGTAGATGTTTGACGAATATTGCTCTGGACATCGTTTTGTTTTCCCCCGGGCATTCTTAGTTCAGCACCGATCCTTGACATCGGAGTTTGATTCGGGTCTGATCAGTGCTGGCGTGGTGCGTTCGTTGGCACGGATCAGTGCGAATTCGATGACCTGGTGTGCCGGGAAGCCGAATTTGCATGTTCATTGTCCAAACTATGGTCCGGCAAAGCTTTTGCAAAATCATGGAAGTCTTGAGAAGCTTGTTCGGATGAGCATTTATTGCACCGAGCGAATGGTACTCAACACTAGACCGCCTTACAATGCAGCCTGGCAAGAACATCGAAATATCCTGAGGCCGGGACTTACTGCCAGCAGAACAAACAACCTTGAAAAGGGTTTCTTACACTTCGGTCACTTGATCAGAAAGTCAAGCGGGCTTGTGTTTTTGAGGGTACCCTTTTGGGGGTCTTAAAGCGAAGCCAAAAGGACAAGCGAAGCCATTTTGGGGCGTCCTAGAACACAAACCCCTGTGAACCCTGAGGCCAACCATCATGGCCTTGGTAAGCAGACATGAGGCTTAGCCTTTCGTCTAATGCAGTCCATACACCGACGCGCCTCTGGCCCTCTGCAGGTCCGACATTCACAAAATGGCACCAGTGTCCAAAATTGGCTTGCACTTATACAGCCTCCATACACCTAGTGGTTGCCAAGATTGAGATGGGTAATTATTTGGCAAAGTTGGGTACCTCCAAAATGAAAAAATGTTTTTTTTTTTTTTTTTTTTTTTTTTTCTGAGGATGTCCTTTTGAACCTAGGAGAAAAGGGGTACTATTAGTTTGCCCGTGCCCTCAAAACAACATCCACCCAGATTGTTCCGTAGCACAACCTTTGCCCTGGTTTGTGGTTTTGCCCTCTCAGAAAATGTTAGCACTGCTTACACCAAGGTGGACTGGACGTTTGAGAGGAAGTGCAGCCAAATACAGGTACGTGTCAAAATAAGGCGACCACAACAGTAGTTGGCTTCCTTTATGATTCCCTCAACCTGAACAGGGTTCCCTGAAAAACGGGCACTATGCCGAGATTGTTCAACTGATAGGCCAACTTGGGTCCACCTCTGGGTCCGATTGCCTCTCTCGTGAAATGGATTTGAACTTGCTGGATCCGGATCCGTGTGTTTGGACCAAGGCTGATGCGGTTTACATTGTCCGTCATGGTTTTAACCTTGTGAATGTTGTCGGAAATAGACGGGCAAAGCAGTTTGCTGCACTGGCAACTTTGCTTTGCTACAGGGCTCAACACTGCATCATCTTTTTTTGGCGAGTCAATCAGTTCCGAAAGGCGTGAGCAAGAGACTCCTGCATGGGGAATGCTATCTCCAGAATGTTTGCCCAAGCGAAAACGGCGTATTCACGCGCAATGTTGCACTTGCAGCCCGTGAGCCCATGTCAGTCGCCTTCGGCTGTTCCGGGCCGCTGGGACATCTGTACAGATCAGACGCGTCCATTTGGACTTTCGTCAAAAGCCGCGCCGAGACTGTGAGTGACACCCGAAGGCGAGTTGCGGCCAGAGGTTCATGGGCAACAGTATAAGAAAACCTCATGGGGAACTCCCCAGAACTCAGGTGAGCCGTTGAAGAGATGCTCGGGCGACGAAGTCCAGGGGACTTCTGAAGGTGGAGGCTGTTTCTTGTGGGTTCCCTGTACCCCACAGAAAGGCGGCCGCTTTTTGTTGAAACCACAGGCATTGGCCATTTCCCAAGTGTACCAGGGGGGATTTGCATGAAGAAGACTCGACAACCGTCATATGTGTCACGCGTGTGTTTTTGCGGCCGGATAGCTATAACCGGGGGAGGATGGTGCCAAAGTTTCTCCGCTGTGCCTTGCCAGTGTGCTCAGCACAGCTAGCTCACCAATCAGTTCATCAACAAGCTCGCTCATTAGATAGCCAGGCAGCTCGCTAGCTAGGTAGTTATTCAGCCAGGTCGCCAAGTCGCTGGCCTAGAAATCGGCTAGCTCGTGGTACATCCGATTTTCCACCAAGGTTCTCAGAACCCTACCCACATTAAGCTTGTGAACAATATTTCCTGGGGCCTTTGGTTGCTCTCCAGTTTCAAGCCTTGGACATCCAGTGAGTTGCTTCCTACCCATTCCCCAGCTTTGTCTCGATTGGCTCTGCTAGCCCGGAGCTGGGCCGATAAGTCGAAGGGTCGAAGGGAGCTTTGTTTAGGTACTTC